TTGTAGAACAACAGAATTTTGAGGTGTTTATTTTCAAAATGCCTTCAAACAAGATGAATACACAACCGTTTGAGTTAGTGCATATACACCTAGAATTAGATTGTCTCATCAGATGGTGAAGTAACATACAATTATGTATAGATATACCAGAACTCGTAATTGCGTCCAGTATTGTGGTGGTTGTAATGTCAACATGAGGATTGGAGATCGTTTTGTTACTACACGCAATTCCCTGTATGTAGCTTTCAGACAAGCTAATGAAGAAAGCATTTTATTTCCTTCAAGAACGTTTATGACATCCCGAGTGATGTTTCCATAAATCTATATTGGTAATTGATAACGTACCTCGGCATTTAGTGAGGTATAGCGAGTGAACAATGCAGATTCTAAGGAAATGAATTGCACTTTATATGTGACATTGGACAGGTCATTGATCATGAACATTGGATGTAGTTAAATGAGTGTTTACTGGATGCTGTACAATTGAAGATAAACAAAGATAGGAGTGCAAATCTGTACAGCCCAAGTAGTTTGCCTGGCTTCAAATTGAACTGAAAATTCAATTTTTTTTCTCTCTCTATTTATAGTATAACCGGGTTAAACCACTGTGCAAAGTGAAATATTTTCACATCCCTTGCGTATAAATACCTCAGTATATAAAACAAAGTCTGCACCCCCACCTCTCACAGTATTCAGTTTTCTAATTCCTCCCTCTTCACAGGATGTACATTTACCTTATTTGTAAGCCAAGAACAGTATACATGAAAACAAACACGGTATCAAAATTCTGTTTTCAACATGTAGACTGGTGCAAGTTTAACCTATTCATACAGAGGGATAGTTTACTTATTGCATTTTGTCGCCAAAATAAGACATAGGTGCGAATAGTTAACCTTGCATCAGCTGATGGGGATTTAAATCGCAAGCAGAAGGTGAAATTTATTTTGCCAAGAAATGAAAGGTAAAAAGATGATAGCCACCTTGATCTGGATCTAGACTTGTGTTTGCGACTTGACTTCTTACCAGACCTGCTTCCCCGTGACTTCTCAAATGAACTTTCTCGTGAGTGTGAACATCTCTTTTTGTTGCCTTTGGATGACTTGGGTGAGCGAGAACCACTCCTTTTCTTTGTCTTTTGGGACTTTCCTTTACGTCTGGAGGACGAATTTTCACTTTCTATTGAAGGCGAACGACTATCATATGAGCGACTTCTACTATGTCGCTTTTCTTTTTTATGTTTCCGTTTTTTTCTATTACTTGGGGAATTTGATTTACCGCGATGAGAACGATAGGAACTCCGCCTCGGGGACCTACTACGAGACCGTGAATACCTACTACTATGTCTACGAGATTTCCTACTTGATCTATATCTCGACGTTGATTCTTCACTATCACTTCTATACCTATCATGACCCCTAGACCTATCGCTACCTCGCTTCCTGTACCGATCACGACTTCTACTACGCCTTCGATGACTTCTATCACGATGGTCTCTCCTTTTCTGTCTATCTCTGTCATATTGGTAGTCCCTATCCCTAGACCTATGCTTGCTTCTACTATAGTTTGTTTCTTCACTGTCAGACCTACTAGTACTGCTACTATCACTACCACTGCTGCTACTGCCTGTACTACTACTTGATCGTGACCTACTATCAGAATCTGAATCAAGTTTTCTCCTGGAATGTTTTCGGTCCCTAGACTTTCCACTGTTTCCAGTTGCGCCGGATTCTTTTTTGATATCCGGACTTTTTAGGGAAGACTCTAAAAATGGTATGCTATTTTTATCATAGTTGTCTGTACCAAGTAAGAATGACTTAGATGGGCTACTAATATTTTTTTCATCAGAATCTCTACTATTTTCATCATCATTACGAATCCTTTTTGGAGAATGATCCTCCTCATCTTCACCGGAATCTACAGAGAAAACACAAAAAATACATCACTAAGACTACTACTTTAACATAGCACTCTCTCTTTGTCTTGCACATCCTTACCAATTTTATAACCAAAAGCACAAGCAGGCAACACCAATATGTAGTGTGCAGAAGACACTTTTGATTCACTCTTAGCAACACAAACCTACCTGGGATTTTCATTCCACATCCACACTAAAAGACACTTTCACACTCGTTTACAAGGTAAAGACCACATGATCAGTGGTACTTCCTTGCGCATTCTTGACTGCAACCATATACATCACGTATCATGTCATACAATTTCTGGCAGCCATTGAATGAAACAATTGCTTGAAATGTATTTTGCTCATGTGATGAGTTACGACGTGATGTATATGTGAGCCAACGAGAGGAATATAATGTTTCTACCTTGAGCCGGTGGATGTTTCTTTGAAAACTCTAATTGTTTTTGTCTTATTGTTTGCTGTAATTCCTCATCACTGTCTGAATCTTCACTGTCTTCCCCACTACTTGCCGACCCATAACCAGCCACACCTATCAAAAGAATATCATATCGGGTTTTCAACTTTGCCACAATAGAGTTTAGGAGAAAATAAAAATAAAAGAAGCTCACACAATACAAAGCTTAGTTTTAGTGTTAAAAGCGCAAGTTTTGACAAACTCAAAATATGACACAATCTCGTGGAAGTAAATATTAACTAAATCTCTGTACGCAGGGCTTGACATCAACTTTTAAACTCACTTGTTCAAAATGCATATTGCCAATATATTTACTGTTATCCGTTAACGCAAGTGAGTTGATATAAAGTTGTCCAAATGGCAATTAAACATGTTCCAGGCTATAGGATTAATCCTTAGTGTCAAGCCTCTGCGCTGTTTAGAATGACAGTACATAAGAATACTTACCAAGCCCGGTGATAGAAGCCAGTGCACTTGACTGGGCTAGTTGCTTTGCAGGTGCTTTATATAATACCATAACAGGAATAAAAGTTAAACACTTGTAACATGATAAGAGAATAGGGGCTCAGTGGCCCATACAATACATACAGTGAGAATCGCAGTATGAAACACGGCATCCAGAAAAAAACAGTGTTCCAGTATTCTGCTGAAAGAAGTCCAGTTAGTATTAAGATACATGTGCATTTCTCCTTGTTTTCACAGAATACTGTGCAGTGTACCCTCTAAAAGCACCGACTCAGTAAAGAAAGGAAGATCGATATAGCTTCAGATGACTTCTGAATGCGCAAAAAAAATCTTGTGACCCCAGATTTTCTATAATTTCACACTTATTTTGTCTTAAAATTTCAGAATAGGAAAATATTTTTCAAGGTAACATTTTCTATTGAGTCAATGATGGGCTAGGAAATGAATATAAATAGCTGCATCATGAAAAATAATGTTGTGTCAGTAAATTGGTAAATTTGCTTAGAAGGCACACTGGTACTGCGATACATTTTTTGCTTCAGATATTATCCTAATATTGTGATTTCATAGTAACATGCAACACCCAATTGATTTGTATGCAGAGTATTCCATCTGGGTAAGCATCACATGATATATGAATATTTATACTCATTGTATAAAAACAACCAACTCCACAGGGCTCAGGGTAGAGGGGAATTGTTACCCGTTACTACCAAACACTGGAAGCAAGAACCTTGGGGAAAGGGGCATCATTACACAAGCTAGATCATAACATTGAATTCTGTATACTCTAGTTAAGATCTAGTGTATGCCTATTTCACTGAGTTTATCTACCTCTGACTCTTGCTTTTTTGTGCACTTCTTCAGCCACGCTCTGAATCTCTTCATTTGTCACTTCTAATAACACTTCAGTTAAGAGACGACGGGTTTTAGCCACCTACAGAAAGGTCAAAATTAGTATAACGCATGGTAAATTTGACAGTATTTGATGGAGCATCAATAACCCGGTTAATCACTCTGTGCAAAAGCATGTATTCTCTTTCAAAAGTTTTGTATTACACCTACACCTTTTCAAATTACAGGTTGTTAATAAAAACATGCTAAAATGCGGCTTGTGCAAACAAACATTGACTAAGTTGTATCAATTCGGCTGCAAAGTTGTTAAAGGTATTAGCTCACAACCAAAATATCTCACTTCATCCACAGCTTCCGACAGGATTTGTAAATATACTACTAGATAACTTTACCATTTCTTGTTGTATTTCAAGTTCACTTTTGGGTTCCGCTTCAGGAGGCGGGGACTCAAACCGACTTTTTTTCATTCTGGATGACGGCGAGTTTGCAGAGGAGTGATTATTTTCTTCTTTCTCACTCTCATCATCACTGTGGTTCGTTTTGTCTTCTTTATTTGTTTCTTTATCAGATTCATCATCTGAATCCTGAGGGAAAACAAAATATACAATAGGTTAGTTTGAATCACCAAAGCATTAGTTTCTTTATTTTTATTAAATTTTGCATCCAAAGGTCAAATTTCATTACTATAACATTTTGCCCTGACCATGCATTTTAAAATACCTTGAGCAATAAAAACAAAGTAGACTTACATATTTTGATTTAGGAGGTAATCCTTTTGATATTCTAGCTTCATTAATAAGATCGTGTTCAGCTTTTTTCTGAGCTTCTAGCCTAGCCTTCCTTTCTGCTTGGTCTTTTTCCTTCTCTATTTTTTTCTGTTTCTGTTTTTCCATCTTTTCCAAGCCCTCCCTGATCCACGCTGGTAGAGTTTTCCTTTTTGCTGCGTCTGTAACAGAACACAAATTATTTTAACATCTGAAGGACAAAAAAACACATACAAAAAAATCACAGAACTGAACACTTATAAAAATGTGAGAAATGTTCATGAATTTAATGAATTGCACATTCAGCCAGGACGAATATTCATGGAAAGCACTCAAATTATCAAATTAATATTTATGGTGCTAAGGTTTTATACACTTTTTTGCACTGCATTTTAACACGTTTAATCTGGGAAATAACATGTATATTTCGAAATTCCTACAGGAGTAGAAGTAACATTGACTTACCTAGTACCAGAGGTAAAGATTCCACTGGAGGTGTTCTGTCTCTCCTATCTCTACTACTATATTCTCTGCTTGGGACAGCGTCTGACTGACTCCCCCTACTATCTTCACCACTCCAATATTGGTTAAATTCGCCTGGACCACCATACTGCGACAAAAAAAACAACAAAAAACGGATGTATACAGCTTATTCCAGTTGAGTTTTAAAATTCTAATCAGCCAGGGTATTTAAATATTATGTGTATTTGCATCTAATAAAACAAGTATGGTAATATGTCAGATGCAACAAAAGCATTTGTTTATTATAATGCCATATTTGACTGACTCAGCGATGCCAAGTCAAGGAATGAACTTCACAGAGGCATCAAAAGCAATTGCTGTGATGCCCTCAGAGTTTACTATGCTGCATCCCAAAATACAGAATATTCCAGATACCATTCTCGCATGCCAAAGCAATTTTATCAAATTTCGCCAAGAAAATGGGTGCATTCTCAACTCTAACATTCAAGCCCTGCTGAGTACTAATTAGGTAACAATGAATTTGTAAAACACATCTTTGCTTTATTTACCTGTTGAAAGTTAGTAAACTGGCTAGCACCAGGTGGAGCAACCTCACCAGTGCCGCCGCCTTCCCCTTCCATTGACTGGTGATTGTAATCAAAACTTTGCAGCTGAAAGTTTGCTGCTACCGGTTGTTGCCCGTGATTATGGTTAAAAGTCTGTACTCCATGGGCATAATCAAATGTCTGTGGATGACCATCTTTGGCTTCAGTGGCAGCTGGAGGCCAGCCACCGACAGGCTGCTGCCAACCTGGTCCCCAGCCATACTGCATATTCGCTGGATTGAAATGTGATGCAACAGCACCGTTTTGTCCACCTTCTGATGGTTGTGCTCCATCTGGGACTTGTTCTCCCTTCTCATGGGCTTCTTTAGCTTGGATCCATTGCTGTGCTAAGACAGCCCAGTCCACTGTGAATGAGAAGCAAAATACCCTAATGAATTTGTCATCAAAAAAAATAACTGAACAACTGTTCAGGGAAATGTTGCGTTCGTGACAAATTGGATAATTAAATTAATTTAGTAATACCTTATTTCATTTTTAATTTAAAAATAAATAAATAAATAAAAACAGGAAAAATGCTATACATGCATTCCTACCTTCTCCACTTTGTTGCATGGGCCAATGTTGTCCCTGGCTGGCCTGCCATTGTGGATTTGACCACATCTTGTTTGGTTATCAAAAACTGTTTCCTAATTACTGTAAAAGAGCAAAAAAACAATAATAATGTATTACACTCTGTGGATTTGATATCACTTTAATGACATACACTGATTCATTACATTGTATTTTAGTCTTCAATAATATACAACAAAAGCAGATTCACACCTCTGCCTAGGAACAGACAAGATTGTATCCAGAAATTACGCAAATAAAATTATTTTTAATATCAAGCAATGGACTATCATGAAACTGCATTGTGACAGCCATTAAACAGGGTACGTTAGATTTGAATGTCAAATCAAATCATATTTCAAGTTTTTATACGTCCGATCTTGGACAAGGCTTGATTTTGTGGCTAATGGCAAAACAAATGGAATATAGAGGACCATCCATTACACGAGGGCAATCTAACAGCAGAGCGAAAAATCAGGAAAATCACGCAATCATAAACAAAAAAATCTTAAAATTGAGACCAGCGAGTGGCCAGGCGCATCATTTATCCGGGAAATTGCCGACAATTACAAGACATCGGCACCAAGTAACCGAATTCGGAGACTGAGTTGTCTGACTTGGCCGGAGAAGCGTAAAAAAACACGTCTCTTACCTTTTCATTAATCGACCTAAAGTTTTACCTGAAAAAGCGGCCAGAATCGACCACTACATAAATAACCCAAAACCTAATGTGTTACTCTTGCTGTATGACCCTCAATAGATCTTTCTGACGATAGCAATAGAGTAAAAATAACTGATTTCTCTCCTGAAATTTTAGTCACACCACACTGTGGACGCCATCTTAATTCTTGAATGATTCACGAATGGAGCCGAGCGTGTCTGCCGAAAAATACCGACCAATTTATTTCGTATGTTTGTTAATTTTACTTACTCCGTGTTATATGCCGCTGTCAGATTGTTATTATAAATGTTGTAAATCTCTTCTGATGCAAATGTAACATATTTTGAACGTAATTTACAATGGGCTGTGAGATCGGCAATTTTTCCGATTATTTAAATTTCACGCGCACTCGCAGAAGTCAAAGGTTATCAATTGAACTTTGACATTTTTCTAGATGAAACTGCGATCATCACCACTGGCAGTGACAGCAAGTTTCAAATATATTTGTGAATTGTGAGAAAGGGACGAAGATGTCTCTCAGATCGATTTGTAGCCGATGTTTGCAACTAAGGGTGCTAGAGTCCTACAATCCCGTGGTAAGATGGCGAAAGCCTTCCCTAGCTACTTGGAGAAAGTTATCATCGCTGATGAAAATATCAAACCGGTAAGGCTGCTCTTTCGCTGCTCCATGCAGAATACGTAATGTGTCAGAATTTAGAAGTATAGGAATAGATTCATCTCTAAATTTTCCTGATGCTGGCACGCAGGATGCTGTAAATCAGAAAATAATATAGTGACATGAACTTATGTTGGCAAAATGGTTGAAATTGGTTGCTATAGCAATAGATGAAGGAGGAATGTCTTCATATACAACTATATATCTGGCCACAGTCCCTCAACACTGTGATCTTGCTATGCTGTGTGGCTTTGAGCAACTTTGTCAAGTTCAAAGTTGGATGTCGAGGCTGTGTGCACATAAAAAATGAATGTGAATGTTATTAAATGTGTTATAGTGCGTTTCTGAAAAAGAAAAAGTTGAAAAGTAAAGTTTTTTCGAAGCCATGTAACAAAAAATCACAGAATTTTGGATTATTTAGGTGTCTTATGCTACTTTTTGGTAAGGTAATTTTTGCTTTCAGTGCATACTGAATATTAAAAATTATGAGAATGATTCTTAGTTCTCGGGTGCCATTCCGTAAGGGATGTGCTGATTGGCTAAGATGCTTAAAAATTACGGGTCATTTCTAATTTGACTGGTTACATTATAAATTAATATTTAGCATTTTTGTCAGAACTGCTACAGCTATGTACATATACACTTGATAGTATTCTCATACTGTGAAATACTTTATTTTCGCTGGAATTAATTTTCACTGAAAAGGCTTTTTGGGTGTTTTGTATGGAATTCATTTTCACTGATTTTTGATGAGTTGAATGTGAAATATAGGGAAAAAAGTATATTCGCTAAATTTTTTATTTTCACTAAATCAGCCTTTCAGCGAAAATAAATTCCAAGCGGAAATGAAGTATTTTACAGTAATACATGTATTCTTTCAAAGGTCATTTTATATCTTGACTGGCGAATCCCAAGATGAAGCACATTCAACAGACAGATCGTCAATGGACCGTGAGGAGGTCAACAAATTCCAGCAATTATCACATGAGTGGTGGAATGAAACTGGCAACATTGAAGCACTTCATCTTTTGAATAAACTTAGGGTGCCGTTGATTCGAGATGGACTGTTAGGTGGTCGACCCATGAAAAACTCCACACCATTGAAAGGCATGGAGATTTTGGACGTTGGCTGTGGTGGGGGAATTCTTTCTGAGGTATCATACACTATTTGCTTTATTAGAAGTACACCTGTTGGCCTGAATATTCAAGCTATTTTCTACTTTATTTTCTAATTTGACATAAAAGTACATATACAAAATTTTGCATTATTTACCCTACGGTACCTTATTAAATCGCTCAGTTGTCACTCAAATCTTGCGCCAAATATCGGTCCCATACGATGAAATTGTTGATAACTTTTATTGCAATGCATACGTTTATTGAAACACTTAAAATTCCTCAGGTGGAATTAAAATGATTACACTAACTACTTTTTACAAAAATTACTATCTAAAGCACAACAATGGTTTAAAAAAACTACAATTAAAAAAACTAGTGATAATATTAAAAAAAGAAAATTTTTAAATAAAATAAGCAGTATACACTCAATGAAACATGGAAAAGGAATGAAAAAAAAGTATTAAAGGAGAAAATTTTTTATTTAAACAGAATTCGCAGATTCTCTTTCCAGTGAAATTCAGCGAATATACCGTTTTTCTATATTTTACATTCAACTTGTCAAAAAATCAGTGAAAATAAATTCCATACAAAACTGCCAAAAAGTCTTTTCAGCAAAAATTAATCCCAGCTAAAATAAAGTATTTACAGTATGTTTTTAACAGTGCGTGTTTCCCCAGGACAGTAAAAAGAGTCACAATGACATCTCAGTAATTTTGTCCTCATGAATGCTATTAGTTCATCAAATAGTCAAAATCCTAATAGCAAAATTTAAATGGTTACAGGAGTTGAGTACATTGAGTAGATATGTTTTTTTCACTTTGTGTTTATTTTCATCATGCTATTTAGGTTTATACTTCCCACTATGTTTACCACTGATGAGTGACAGCGCTGTAAACCACACACACTCTATATGATTAATCTGCCATTTCTGGTTTCTCAAAAGAAAATTATATTGCTGTTAAAATCAAAATATCATTCACAAAATATCAATGGGCCTAATTTGTCAAAAGAATGTACAATAATCTAACGCCTTATAACCCGTACCTATATCTAGATGATTTTAGAATTATAGCTAAATATTTAATAAATTTCAATCATAATCTTTTACTTGGTTTTTGTAGCCACTTGCAAGATTGGGTGGTAATGTGACTGGAATAGACATGGCTGATGATTTATTGGATGTTGCCGAGTTTCATTCTCTCCATGACCCTGCTGTCTGTAAAAATCTCAGGTACATCTGTGGAGAAGTGGAGAGTCTTGTTGCTACGGATATTGAGAAATATGATGCCGTTTTGCATCCGAGGTGTTGGAACATATCAGCGATTTAAGTTCATTCTTACAAAGTTGCTGTGATCTGGTTAAGGTGGGTCAGTCGTACACTGTTAATTAAAGGTAGATTTTGTCAATGTGTCTATCCTGGACAGGCATGACTACTTTCACCAATTCAAACACGTGTAACTTGCTGGTTTCTACTTCCATTTCTATCATGTACTGTATTAGCTCTATTACAACCGCATCTCCAATAGAAGCCCACATAATCCAAAAATTGCACAGTAAAACCATTTATTTTCACTGATATATTCATTATTTTGATGTTTTGAGCATATTCACTGTGTTTTCTTTTCATGAATTTGTCAAGGAAACGATGAGTTTTTTATTTTACTTATCAGCGAAAATAGCAAAATTAAAATCTGGTGAATAGTTAATGCATTTACAATTGTATGTTAGGTCATTGAAATACATCTTATTTTAACCATGGACTAAAGGACGACATCAAAAGATCGATGTCGGATAAAAAACTTAATTCTTTTAGTTTTTTTTAAACCCCACCCCCATCCCCCACTCAAACTTAATTGATAAATATTGGTCATGGCGTCAGACTATATTCACCATTAAATACAAATGGATAATCGGACAGTAGTATGGCATAGCAGTTGGTTGTCGAGTGGGTGTAAAAAGACTTTACAAATGCACCTCATTTGACACACATATTTACACTCGGACCAAACCATTTTCTCGTCTTGGATGTTTATTTTTTTTCATTTTCTGTAATTTCTGTCCATGATTGGATAGAAAAAAAACGAACTACAAATACTCAAGGATTTTTTTGACTTCATTAAAAAATAAAATCGTTTTTGTAGGATGGAAACTTTTTGAGGTCAAAACCCCCCACCCCCAAACTAAAGCAAATAAGTTTTTTATCTGACATTGATCTTTTGACGTCGTCCCTAATTCTCTGTCATTTACACAAGCACATGTTTTAAATCGAGCAAGTACAGTAATATACGTCTGTGTTAATGACTATTCATATTTACATTTGGGATAACATACCATGATACCTACAGGTATTATGTCATCAAATGTCTACATGACATTATTTGGTAATCAAACTAAAATAATTATTCTTTCTGTGTTTTGCATATTTTCTTTTTCCTAGCCTGGTGGTTCAATATTTGTTACCAGTATCAATAAGACAGCAATAGCGTATGCATTTGCAGTGGTGGCAGCAGAAGCTTTCAATATCGTACCAAAAGGTTCTCATAACTGGGATAAACTGGTCAGTTTACAAGAATTAAAGTCACTATTGGAAAGATGTGAGTATTCAGGATAAGAGTAGTAATAATATATACAGTGTTCGGTCTATTATCACCACACACACTCAAGTACATTGCAAGTGTGTTTCTATGGGGAAAACATATTTTAATGATTCGGTCTACAACATGAGTAATTTTTTGTTTGTATGTGCTTCTTTTGGAGATGCACTTTAATGGAGCAAATACGTTACAGGTAAAATAGAAGAGGAGAGTATTACATAACTATCAATTAAATAATTAGACCACAATTCATACCATACTTTCTTTATTAATATTGCATATTATTATACATCTATCACCCAAAACAATAGAATTTACCGTTCCATAAAAAAGCCACATTTGTATAAGCTTGAAATTCATTTGCACTTGTTCCAATACTAACAATTTTCTTTATTCGCGGTTAACTACATCATTTACGTTTAAATTAAACACGAAAACAAATAAATAGAATGAAAATATTATGCTGTCACAATTACATAGAAAGAAATCTCGTAATAATTTATCACTTGCATTTTGAGTTTTTTTGAATTATGACTACAACCAGGAATAGAAGTATAATAATATGGTTATCATTTGAATACCGCAAAAGTATGCACTCAGGCAGTGTGGGATTACATCAATCTTTACTATGATTGGTATTCTGCCTACATGCATACAGTGCTGGGTATTCTCATATTATCAGTTAACAACTCCAAATACATCAATATCTTCTTCTTCTTTTTTTAGATGGATTTGTGATTCGCCTTGTCCATGGTATTATTTATGATCCAGTATTTAAGAAGTGGTCATGGATTTCAAATACAAGTTGTAACTTTGCAATCCATGCAGTAAAGAGTGATTTTAAAGAACCTGAGATTGGTGAGCCAATCGCAGAAGAGAACATAGAAACATTGCAAGATGACGTGAACACTGAAAAATAGTATTGCTGTCTAATCTAAACGGATGTTATGGTCCACATATTTTTTTAATTTTTGTAGTTTTAAAAAATTTGCATGAATGGATCGGTGTGAATTTTTTGTATTTAAAACAAAACAATATTTTAAGGTGCATTTCTAAGGAAAAACTAAAAACAAATTTGCTAAATAGCATGTACCTGGTACATATTTCAAACTGTTTTACAGTAAAACAGTGTGTCATTACACAAGTCATTGCTGACAGTGTATTCTTTAACAACACAACAAGAACACTGGAAAGTTTTGGAATTTTTGCTTAGGACCTGTCGCCAATATGATTATCAATAAAAATACAAAAAGGTGGAGTAGGGCTATTTTAGCCAAAATTAGCTAGTGTGTCATTACACAAGTCATTGCTGACAGTGTATTCTGTAACAAGAACACTGGAAAGTTTTGGAATTTTTGCTTAGGACCTGTCACCAATATGATTATCAATAAAAATACAAAAAGTGGAGTAGGGCTATTTTAGCCAAAATAAGCTTGTGTGTCATTACACAAGTCATTGCTGACAAGTGTATTCTGTGACAACACAACAAGAACACTGCAAAGTTGTGGGATTTGTTTCGTAACATTTACTTTTTTTTTCCTGAAATTTTTGCCTTGCACCCGTCGGCAATATGATTATCAGTTGGACATGAAATGGTAAAAATTTAGAAGATGTATAAACTAATGGATATGGTGATTAAAATAAACAAATGAACAGTAGTTCTTATCTTGTCAGTACTTTTGCAGTATGCAAGACGTATTGGTCAGCAGAACTGTTGATGTAAAAGAGTTTTTTGTTGTAAGAGACAATTCATTCACTACTAGCACTGACTGAATCACTTTAAATATAGATGTGGATTAGATTAAAAAAAAAACAGTAGTACATCCAATTTTCAATTGTCATTTATTATTCCACGAAGAAATCTAAAGCACTGACATCACTCGGTTATCAAGCAGTTTTAGAAACTAAACAATATATTTCATCAATAAATATCTTAATACTGAAAAACGATTGAGCTTTTGGCAAGAGATAAAAGTTGCACTCTGAAAGCATTCATGCAGCTTTATTGGGGTCTTAGGATTACCGGGGTACGTGAAATATTTGATAGTTAGAACTTGCGGGAATTCTATAATGTTAAAAATTTAAATGCTTTTCATTATGTCTGAATGCTGTCGATAGTTTCAGCTTCCTATTAGATCACATGTTCAAATTTCATTTTCTAACATGTTTGTGTTGCAACACGTGTGAACTCGCGATTTGTTTCTGTTACAGCAGGCTGCAATAATTCAAAACGAGGTACAATCCTGATGAATGCTATTTTTTTTCCCTGCAAGACCATCAATGATCTCCATATAATAGGGAATTTAATATGCTAGCAAGAATGTATAAGATAAAGATATATAACTGACATCAAAGCAATGGTGATACAATCATTAATTTGAATCAATGTTTCTAGAAATGTGTGATAGTCTTGCAATTCCGTGACAACCACACAATTTTCATAACTAGAAATGAAATGTTCATCGCATACATGCATAAACTTCTCTTATAAATCCTAGTGATTGAAAGACAACATTTTCTTTTCATCACAACCTCATGACCACAAGCGCAACATTATTTAGAAAAACAACAAATCATGATTTGCTCATATTGTGTGCTTCCTTTGAACTTGTACTTGTAAATATAGAAAACACATTAGTGTATGCAGAAAGTATAATGGCGACTCATTGGGG